CCCCCCGGATCCATCGCTGATTTCCGCGCCATCGCCTGACGCATGCAAACAGTCCATGTCATTTTCTTGTTTCGGGCACACAGTAATTGCGCGAAAAGTCACAGCGGCCCACGATCACACTTGATACCTAGAGAGAGACCTCACTCCGCCAACTCTATTTCCTGTTACGACGGCCACCATCCAACACGTGGAAGTCTGGTTTGTTTGGTCTAATGTCTGATATTACAGGTTATGTAGAATGACGCAGGCCAAACTCAGCTCTTGCTGCGATACGATTTTATTCGTTTTAATTATTATTTGAAAATATTTTTGCTTGAAACTTTGGAGAAAGTTAAAATTAATGGTTACTGATTTTTTGGGGGAGAGGGGGGGTCCCTCATCCCCCCCTTGGATCCTCGCCTGTCCTAAGATATTATAAGATCTTTTTCGATTATCTGACGGTTGTGCAACCTAAGCACGAGTCACCACTGCTTGATACCGAAATATTGATTGACCGCAAAACGTGTCTGGTCGTCCGTCTGCATGTGTGGCCGTCTGTGGGTAACGCTAGCGTCTAAATTTGCCCATTTTCTCCAAAATTGATATTTCCTAATCGATCTGAATGCACTCGAACTTTGGGTGTTCCAAACGAATATTTAGATTTTTCATGGTACTTTACACGAAGCCTCAAAAACATTTTCAAACTTTTCTCAAAAAATGGGCCCCAATGTTTTGATTAAGCCTCGGATAGCATGAAGGACGCTTAAGAGAATGGTACAGGCCTCATGTTCGATGAAATCCCATAATATTTCGAAAATTGTAAAAGTTCAATTTTTTTCGTCGTCTTTCTACAACTACAATACTAAAGATTGACATTTTTTCCAGAATAAATTCAGTTCTTTAAAGACAGGCACAATACTTTCTACTCCTATGAAGCAAGGCGAGAAAGTAAAATTATTTCTTTAAAAAACGTCATGTACTTTGAAAAAAAAACCGAGCATTTTCGCGTAGTTTTTACTTTAAACGCGATTTAAAAAATATATCTGTTCTGAGAATCAGTCCAAATTTTTTCCATGGATGCAGCAAAGGACACCTAAAAATTTGTGTCTTTTTGTTGAACTCTCTGAGTTTTTAAAAAGTGCAAAAATTGGAAATAATGTGAGAAAGTATGTGCACCACTAGTTTTAACCAGACCTACATCTTTAATTTGAAAATATATATTCCTTTGTCATTGCCATCTACTCAATATTTGATGTTAAAATTATTCAAAGATAACTTTTTCAAAACATTATTAGGATTTGTATAATTTTGAATTAAATATTTACAATTTCCCGAAAATTTCTAAACAAGATTTTTCTAAAAATCACTCAAAATTTTATCTTTAAAAATTTATTTATGATGGAGCACATTCATTTACAAAGTTATGTGACATTAGCACCATTTTGTTTAAAACTTTTGAATTTCCAAAAAGTACTAATACCTTATGTAGATCAACTTATTAAGGATATCTCGCATGTTAATAAAGTATTTATATTACAGGATATTTTATAACTTTTTTTTTTTTTTTTTTTTTTGAAACAAATGCTTCAACTAATTCCTTAAGATTTTTCTCAAAATCTCAAAACTTTTTCTGAAAATATTTATCTTCATTTCAATAGAAAGTATGTTTGTTTATTTCTGAATTTTTCATTTTTATTTGTTTTTGTAACATAACATTTTTGAAATATAATATTATATTTGGGAGGAGTTCACTCCTCCTAACAATCAATATAAAAATACATTTAAGTATAGACCTATTTCTGATGTTTTAGCCACATATTCTACATTTCAACATGTATTACAATTGTTTTTGTTAAAAATATTTCATCTTTATAATTACGTAAAACAGAAAATCAGCTTTTTACACACCAACTTTTTGAGGGTCATATCACCCTTTTTAAATGTTTATCAGTAGGAAAGATGAACATGTGAAACATTTCTTCATCACTTACAAAATATCCAAAGGGTCACTAGATCTTCAATAAAAATTGAGAGAGTTAGTGAACTAGGCATATTCAATATTCATTAGGTAATGCAAAAAAGAGAGTAGTGACATTTTTGGCAATGAGATGAATTTGCCAAAGAGCATAGCAAATTAATCTCTGTTTTGAGTTTTAGTTTCATTGAACAAATGTTTTCCATATATGTCTTTGTTTTCATGTGATTTTTCTCTGTCAATATCTCATAAGTGAGAAAACATAAGTTTATATCATGTTTGACAACAAATATTGAATAATGATAGAGAAGCTGAAACACCATAAGTACATCTATAGTTCAAAGTAATTATTTTTCATCTAATAATACCAAATCATTAAATCCATTGAACAATCTAACTTTGACTCATTCCACCTTCAGATAAATACATTTTGACAAAAAACAAAACATTTTAGCTGGGTCAATTGGCAAAGGTTTTTGATAAAATAGTTGTATCTCTCATTGCAAAAAATAAATATTTTGTAGATCTCTTTAGAGCATCTGTGGTAATGAACATGTTCCAGTTAGATTCCTAATAATTTCTAAACACCAGACACATATGTGCCAAGATATTTCCAGTAAAATTCATTTACTGCATATTTGTTTTTACATCACTATCTGGGCTTTAGAAAGAGGATGAGAATAACATATGACTCATTACCTTCTGTATCATTTTAATAATGCAATCATAGTTTAAGAGAATTTTTTTTACCAATTTATTAATAATTTACAATTTTATTAACAAAATATTATACATTTAGGGGTGTGTTTCTTTATAAAGTAATACATGGAATTTATAATTTACTGGGGAGAAATCTTTGAATGCAGGTAAGTAAATAATATATTTCCTACATTAATTAATAAAGCAAATTTCAAAGAATAACTTTATCTTCACTGAACAATTAAATTTAAAAAATATAATTAACAATTTTTTCTAATTAAGCTAGACCACTTTTGTTGATATGCACTTTGTTCTAGTGCACATGAACAATACCAATACGAATAAAATATTATATTATTCTTTTCTCGAGTTTTTTATTCCATTGCATTCAAATCACAGAAATATAAATATTATAAAGCATTTTAACAGTAAATGAAACTGCCTTCAATAGGTGATAAAGAAATTATAACCAGTGTTATATACTCAATTAAAAAAAACAAGGAATTGGAAAAGTATTTCTAAACATTTTTTCTTAATGAAAAATAATATTTGAAATGCTGAACTGGGTAAGTATGTTTAGTGAAAGTTTTAATCCATTTTATTTCCTGTTAGGCTGCATTGTAGTCCTGTTTTCCTGGTACCATATTAGAAACAAAGTAAAACAGAGATATGTTTTTGCACATTTGCTCTCCTCTGATGATTTCCCAAAATGCCAGAAAGAAGAATAATTTAATATGATTGTTTCCAATTCTTTTCATTATTCACATTAGAAGAGTTTCATAATAATCTGCAAAAGAAAAACATAAGAAAATTACAGGTTGGTAATGTAAATCATAAGAAGCGTGATGGTTTTCATTGGCAGAAATTTATTTTAATCTCTTGTGTACATGGTAGTGATAAATTAGACCTACAATATGAATTACTATGCCTTTATTCTCTGACTAAATGTTCAGCACCAAGTATGCATGAGAAATAAGTGCCAAGTTACAAAATCCATTCATATGAAACTACAATTTTTTTTTAGCGATATGTGTATTGCATCAAGAATTAATGCAAAATAGAATATGCTTAAATGATCTTGTTATGAAAAGAATTGTAGAAAATGTATGTAAGTGGATTAAACATAGCTAATGTAGCTTAATATTAAGATTGTAGATTTTCATTACATTTAAAATTTCTTCTTTTTCATTATCCTTTGAATAGCCTTGCGAATATCTTCTTCCAGGTTTTCACTTCCAGGTGGATGAAGCCTCATCTGAAAAATTAGAACTGAAAACTGTTCACAAGTTTCCAATTGGGTTTTAATAATACTTATGTCTACATACAATTTTCAAAATTACAATTGTTTGACTAATTTTTATGAATCTGTATTATTAGTATATTGCCTTACTGAATAAATATATGTTCACTAAGAATTGGATATTCAACAAAAGTTACGTAAACTGTCTTGTAAACAATGATAACTTTATAAATAATTTCACATGCATGATAATAATACTTATATCAAAATGAGAATGAAAAAAACAATGAATGGAAACACATGAAAAATAAAATTGAACACAGAATGCTTTGTCTCATTTAATGTTGGAATCGTGAAGAAAATACAATCAGAACCTATGTTTAATTCTATGATATACCGACCCATTTACATATCAGTGCTTGAATCTTAACACAAACAAAATAGATGTAATTTGCTAATATGAATTATCTTTTACATGAAGATTTTTTTTAGCTTCAGAAGCTAACCTTACAATCTGTTAAGTACTGTTTTATTCACGAGAGTTTTTCTCAAATTTTGTTTTTGAATCAGTTTATGGGTATTGCATCATATTTTTTTAACATAGCATTTCTCTCATTTTTACAACTTTGCTTTACAAAAGATGTTTAAATTCACCTTTCCTGAGTATGAATTAACAAAAAACTGAATGCAAATTATAAGCGTAAATCTTGAAATCCAGTGTGTTAAAAATCCAATAATATTTTTGTTATTTGACTTTGACTGTTAAAATGTTGTATTTTACTCTTTAATAATACCAATGCATGAAATAAAATTGATTCTTAGAGTGATAAAATTCTTTATTTCAGATGTCAAACGTTTCCGTGGCCACAGTCATGATTTGGGCTGTCCGGCCTTCAAAGTGGCGTCACGATGGTAGCCCAGATCATACTTTATTTCTTATCTTTTTTTCCCCCTATTCCAACATCTTTAAGTTTCTTAACCGCCACTTTCCATTCTTACATGCCAGTTAATATTTTGTTCCGTTAGATCTGATGATGAACTTTTTATTGAATTAATACATTCATGCATCTATACAGTAAGCTACTTATATGATATTTCAACTTATTATAGTTTTATTTATTGGACAATTGACTTCCTTTCACATGTCCAATTCCATATGTATTTCATACAATTTCATTTATTTCTTGTTGTTTACTTACAGACTCATGCCTGAAGATGAGACAAATCTGGCCATGATACCTTGGGAATTATATTTTAAATAAATCTGTTATTAATTAATTTTATTATTTTAATTTAATTATTCTCCTTTGATTATGTTGATTGTCTTTAATTGTTTGACACAATTTATTTTAAAATAGATATTACAGAGCTGGCTCGGATAGCTGATGCTGAAGGGCCTTTGCTGCCTCGTGCCTGAAGGGTCGCAGGTTTGAGTCCTGCTAGGGGCATGGATGTTTGTGTGTCTGTATGTATGTATATGTCCATTCATCCTTTGTCATCTCCATCGATCCATTCCTCATTCCCCCAGAGCTAACAACCTTGGGTAAAAAAAATGGATTCAGAATGGAAATGCTGATCCCAAAAGGTCACATGCACTTACCCCTGAGAAAATATGACTGGGCCTTGGCGAGTATGATTGCACATTTGCATGGTCCTATGATGACAAATTCACAACAGAAATAAGTTTGAAGTTAGTCAAGTCTGTAAATTATTGCAATAAGTTAATTTTGAATTCTAAACATTTTCAAAATTGACTACAAAATATATTAATTTTATATATTATTCTGAATTTAATCTTCATGAACTATGCAATTTTGAAGACATTATAGATGTTTAATTGAAACTAATACAAAGTATACAATTACTATCAAAATACTACAAATATTTAGTTTCAAAATATATATTAACATAAATTTAAGATATGTTTTCTGAGGTTTTTGTTCTGCCAGGGCCCAGGACATTTGAATTCATACGAGTTCACTAATCATTGCAAAGTTAACTTCTAAATAAAAATATGCACTAGTTACTTCATACATGGAACATTTGTATGGTTAGTAAGGTCCATTTTTAATTCATGAAATTTATTATTAAATTGGCATCTTGTTTTTATCATGTATCAAATTATTATTGCATGTTTTTGTGAAACTAGTGTAATTACTCCAAGAGTATTTTTCTCAATTGCACTTCATTTTATTATCATAAAAAGTTTTTCACTATAAAACAATAATCTTAGATGAGAAATTGTAGATTGTAGAGAATACAATGAGATTCGTAATACTACTTTTGTGGTATTAAGATATGTCAACAATTACAATAAAAATAATACTTTGACAAAAGTTTGCACACCTGAAAGGCAAATATTGAAATAGTGATCATAAATAGTCAAAGAACAATGACAACTAATAACGAATTAAGAAATCACAGAAACCATGAGACAAGATAAGATTATATACACAACTTATTTGAATATGATTAAAGTACTTATTCAATTTATTTTCAGATTAACCAACATTAAAAGAACAATACTATGCATTCTGTTTTATATTGTACAATTGTATATATGTATGCCAGAAGAATAAAATAAAATGAAGAAGAAACAAGAAAATAAATTGATTTGAGCAAAGGCAAAACTATTTCATATTGTTGAACATGCATGCATTCATGCATTTTATTTCATTTTTAAGCGCAGTTCTAATAAAACAAAAAGAGCAAATCATTTACAGTGAAAACATAAGGTGAAACCATTTATGTCATTTTTAATCTTGAATATATTCAAGAAACAGCTAAGAACACACTACAGATGATTGTTAGTTCAGTTCCTACTAGTTGAAAGTAATATACAGACAGGTTGTATTCTATAACACAGACATTTGCGTATTTTCAAACAAATCTTTTATACAAAAGACGTATTTATACAGAAAAAATTTATGAAATAAGAATTAAAAACATTATTAAAAAAATTGAAATATATGCTAAAATATAGGATATAGTGTAAAAATCAGATAAAGATTGACAAATCAACAGAACAAAGAGGATGAGCAGCAAAGCATGTACAAAAAATTAGACTAAACCTACATATTTGAAAATGTAAGTTTTCATGTGGTAGAAGGATATATGTACAACATAATCAGAGCTGAAATGTACACAAAATAAAAGAAAAAGTTAGAAGATCTGTAAGAGACACACAAAATAAGGCAGGCAGCAGAGAAAGTGCGGGACAGAAGCCACCACAGGGACAGTTTACAATGAAGAAGCTGTGAAAAGATATGGATATGATGTAATACCGTGATGTATAAATGTGTTAATTTCTATGAAATTAACTATGACTTAGTAATCTTCTGCAGAAATGTCACGACCAAGGTCTCCTTTTCCTTCAGCCTTCCGAGTGAGTCTCTTCTGTAAAAGAAACAAGTTAGTAAATTTATTAATAAAGCTCCATCAAATGTCTGCCTTCAGTGAGTTGTTATAAAGAACAGCATTTAGAAATCATTATAAATTATTGTGAAAAACTGAAGTTTATTGAGCAATGGGTTGAACTAAAGTTATGTGATTATTTATAATTGTAATGCCCAAAGCTCTGAACATGTATTTCCTAGTAACCGCATTTATAAGAGCATGATATAAAACTGCCTTCTCTATTAATGGAAATTCTTTTATTGTTTTGATGTATACTTGTCAGTTATGTAAAAATTTGTGTTAATAACTATGCTGATAGCGAGTAGGTTTTGTTAACCCTACTTTGTTAACATATTTAGTATTCATGTTGATTTGGAAGGAGTATTAATTTAGCAATTGGTACTTGAGGGGTGATGATTTACTTGCAGAAACTTATACCATTAATATACTTGTAGCAAAAACATTTAATTTGTTTAATACATAATTCATTCATTCATTCATTCATTTAGTCAGATGGAAAGAATTACAATTCAAGAGTGAATAATGACCCAGAAGTCTGCTTTAGTCCGAATAATCTTGAATGATGCTACATATAGTTTTTGGGTGCATGTAAATTGAAATTGTGTTATGTAACCAATTTGATAAACTAATTAGATACACAAATATTGTTATTTATTTAACAAGTCCTCTAAATTAGTCCGTACAGTCTAATATTGAACATGTTGGATACAATGTTTTATGGTATTTCTAGTTATTCAAAACAAACATATAACACTTGTATGAGTTAAGAATTGTCATTACTGTCAATATCCGAGTGCAAGGGTTGTTGGTACAGCGTCTTCACACTGTTTTAAAATATCAATCCCAGGGCAATGGGACAAAATGGGACAATGGAGACAAAAGGAACAAAATAAGTCAAGGGGCAAAGGGACAAAAATGAGAAAAGTAGGGCAAAGGGGCAAATGGGACAAGGAGGACTAAGGGACATACGTGACAAAATGGGATAAGGGGACAAAATAGGGCAATGTGAAGGAAGGGAACAAAATGGTACATGGTGGACTTTTGGACAAATGGAACAAGGGGACAAAATGAGCCACGGGGGTAAAAGGAAAAGGGGAATAAATGGGACAAGTGGCACAAAATCTTCGGAATTGATTTCTTGTAATACTAACGAAGATAAATGTTAAGGCTTCAAGAGGCATTACGTTCAGTGGAATGTTAAAAAATTGTAACTTCAATATATCTATACCAAAACAATTGTAAAAGTAAATTTATTTGGGAATAAAAGTAAATTTATTTACTTTTATTCCCAAAAATTGTTTTGCGGCAATAACATATTTATTCAAAGATTTACAAGCTTTGGTAAAATCTAAACTCGAAAGTCAACTAAAATATATTTGATGGACACTTGAGCACTTTAACAACCATTACTATGGACTTAATGCATTGTTTAGATGGTTGGTGGCTAAGGAGCTAAGCGTGTGATTACCAATATAAATAACAAAAATATATTTATTATTAAAATAAGTGCTTGTTCACAGTAATCAAATAATTTAAACTATATTAACAAAATTGTGGTACACACTTATTTGATCTTTAATCTGTCTATTGTTACATATAAATTAAATAAATAAAACGAAGATGAATTATCTTAAGCTATCATGAACATTCATCTGCATAAAATCATTTCCCAATCTATGCAACATGTTTAGGGTTCATAGAACGAAATTTGTAACAGAACAGGGGTTACATTTATTTCAGATTGCCACAATCTCTGATAAGGGAAATTGACAGGCCTAAATTAATACATACTCACAAGATTAAAATCAATTCTTCAATGTTATTTGCGACATAGTATATAAGTATGCTAATTTTAAGAGGAAGTCAGGTTTACACACTTTTATATTGTGGTGAATTCTCTATGATTTTATGTAATTGACTACAAGTTTTCATTTATGCAAATACATTTTTTAACAAGCCAACAATACAACCATAATATTTCATCATCATTTTCAGATTCTTCATTCCAGAAGATTGGTTGATTTATGACTTTTAGCCACTGGCATTGTAATGCGAACGTTTATTCACGTGTATATGATTTATTACTACTTTGAAGAATCTAATGATTGGTAGATAGTCATTTATGAGGAATAAAAGACATTTACAGTTTGTACAGTGATGTTCCTGCATATTCTGCACAGATTACACAACAGGTCATCACATACATTTAAAAAATCCAAGAAATTATTTTTAATTATATTTTACAATCAAAGCACATCACTAATGTCACCAGGGGGCCCTGTGCTTACCATAATTCGGTGCTTTTCTTTGCAGGCATATTCTGATTCATCAACATCATTGTAACAATCTGACTTGTAGTCAGGAGGGAGAGGTTTTCCTTCCAGTTCACACAATTTGCTTAGAGGCTTTGCTCGGACAATCATTTTATCGAAACCTGTTGGCTTTTGTTGGGGACAATAAAATACATCTGGTGTCTTTTTATCGTAGACTATGGATTTCCTCATCATGTCTCCGGCCACAGCCATCCCAACAGAAACCTAAAACAATAGAGCACAAATAAAAATATGATTGCAAGAACAATTAATAAATTAATTTAATTAATGCAGGGCTGTCTCAACAGCAATAGAGGATTTTTGCAAAGGATTGTAATGGAACTCCTATCCATTTGTGGGATTAAAATAAAAATTTCAGTAAATGATATGTACACATTTATTTTGTAAGACTTTTTATTAATTTTGATTAACAAATTATATACCAATATAAAATATTTATATGAAAATATATTCCACATAATCAGAGGCACACCCAGGATTTTTCTTAGCAAGAGGGGGCCGGGGATATTCAGATATAGTGCTCAGCCGACTTCCTGTTTTCTTATAAACAATTTTTTCTGTATTCTTCTGACTATAATATATATTTTAATTTGTTGACTTATAGTGAATATTTATAACAAATACACTGATATATTGAATGGCTTTCATTAGTATAGGAAATTCATAGACATGTGCCATTGGCTTCTTAGGGGGGGGGCTAATCATCGGGCTATCATTGCTATATATCATTGACATCTTCCTACAACATAAAAGATAAAGATTTTCAAAAAATTAAATCTATTCTTCAAAGACAGATCTTGAAATTAGGTCACATATAACATTTTGGAAAATATGAGTACATTTTTCATGAAATTTAAGCAATTTTGAAACAATTTATTTTCTTAAATAAAGCTGCAAATTTTTTCTTTAAATTTTCTCCTTGTGTGTATCAAATGATGGTTAAACTAGGTGTGTTAAAACAGCACATTTTTTTGCCCATACTTCAGCAAATTTATGCGAAAAGCACTCAAATTTTCGAAAAAGTGTACATGACTTAATTTCAAAATCTATCTTTAAGGAACGTACCTTATTAAGGGAAAAATCTATATCTTTAATATTTTAGTTGTGGGAAGATTCGGAAAAAAAATTGCATTTTTGCAATTTTCGAAAAATTAGTTTTAAACGGAAATGAGTCCTGTATCATTCTTGTAATCATCCTTCACACTATCCAACAAGAAAATTTAATTATAAACGATGCACCTATTTTTTTCAAAATTGAGAAAATGTCCCAGGGGCTTCATGTGAACTACCCCCCCCCCCTCAATTAAAATATCGATTTCTAGTTCAAGGGGCCGCGACATCAGTCAGATACTTCGGGGAATATCACTTATGGAGAAAATCGGCTGAATGGTTTTAGTCGCTAGCGTTGTTCACAGACGGATATTCATTTTTCAATCGATTTTTCGGTATCAAGGACCCATAAAACATTGATTATGTTTGTATGATGTCTGAGATCGCTAAGGCAGTAATGGTGTAGCGATCTCGGACTGAAGAATCGCGGATTCGAGTCCCGTTTCGGGTATGATTGTATCTGTGTTCATCCTTTCACCCTCATCCTCACCATATCACATCATACTGTTAACCCTATCGTTAAGTTCCTTCTTAATGGTGAGAGTGTAAAAATAACGTATCCAAATACACAGCTTACGTTTATTCTTGCATTATACCCCTTAAACGCTGAACTTATATGATTTAGTTTGTGAGATCTTACGTTACGATGCAATCGCAATATTCCAGGGGCCCGTTCGTTTTACAAGCTTGCTCTTGGTTGCTTTGGTTACAACAGGCGCGAGGCCAAAGTTGTGTGATGCGTGGGGAAACAACAGCGCCATCTGCACATGTGCCACTTACGTATTTTAGTAATGGCTTCTTTCCCCTACAAATCGGTCCCAAAGTAACGTTCTTATATTGCGATTTTCGCAATTCTACGCCTGGCAGGTATTAATTGTTAACAGTTTCATCCAATCGGGAGCTTGAACATTACCATAGTGACGTCATTGTGACCTTCAAGGTCCCGATTGGATGAAACCGTCAACAGCTGCTACCTGCCAGGGGCAGAGTTGCGTAAATCGCAGTATAGGTGGTACATTAGCGATATTATTTTGCGATTGAAATCCAGTGACATCTGTCGTACGAACAGCTGGGACGCGGTTATTCAATTGGGAGCTTCAGTTCCAAAACTTAAGTCGCAACGAAGCTCCCAGTTGGATAACCACGTCCAGCTGATCAAAAGTCAGAAGTCACTCAATTTAAATCGATGTATAGTAACTAATTGACTTCTCGGAGTTGCCCGGGTTTTTATCACATTCGTCTAATAAATCCGCCCGCTCAGCCTGCTCTACTCTCTCTTTCTGCCCCTCCCTCTTCGCCCAACTACACCACGGGGCGCCCAGCAACTACATGCTCTGCAGGTTGCATGAAACTAAATTTTGCAAGAAAACAAATGTTGGGGTAACATTTTGAATCGCACCTCCCTCCCCCCTACATTTTGCCTTGGCAAACCAAACGTCATCGTGGGAAATTGGGGAGCAACCGATCCTGTGAGTAGAAACATTTTTAACATACACTGACGTACATGCACATATTTTCACGTTGATAAAATAGATCATTTTAATTAAGTATGGTTGTATCAAGAGTTCCCTCTCTATGAAATTTTGAAGACACTTCACGACGAAGAAACAACCACGTATTAAACACCCTTAAATTTCATTGAAAGGAGTTACCACGGAATTATAGTGGATCATATCTAAATTATTTAACTGTATAATGTTAGAGATATTGAGGAAGTGAAATGTTTAGGCCATTATTAAATACTTAATCATTCCACCTCCCTTTGAAAAATAACATACTCTCTTGTGCAACAAAAATACGTCTATAAAGTATAATAAAGATATTACGAGTTTGTATTTTTGTATCCGCTAAAAGTGCGCTCTCCCTCCCCCGTCCACTACTGGCGCTGAGAGCACGTGCCCTTTCTGCTCCATCTAGTTACATCACTGCTGCTAAGGATAGGAGACGCTCAGAGGTTTACACTAACCAGCTATTAGTCACAGTCTTACGGCACTTCGCACGTTGGTTCATACTCCAGGCATGACTTTGCGAAGCAGACCCCGCCACAACCTCTCAGTATAGGCGTGCGCACCCTAAAGCAAGAGGGGGGTCAACTACAATTCAGAGCCCCCTTTTCCCTTACACATTTTTATTTACGTATGAGATTTTCACTTATTTTTCTTCTTCTTCTTCTTCTTTAGCTCTGAAGCCCTTTGTAGGCCTCGGCTTCATGCACAACAGCATTTCATCTTCTTCTGTCATCTGCTACTTCCTTCCAGTTTATCACTTGCAGCACATCATCTGTCCATCTCTTTTTTGGTCGGCCTCTCTTCTGATTTGAGAAGAGGTTACCCTTTTATATCTTTTTAGGCATTCTTAATTTCGGCATCTTTCCTGTGTGTCCCAACCATCTAATCATTTGCGACTTAATGAGTCTTACAATATCTTTTCCTCCTAAAATTGCATCGACTTCATCATCACGCCTGTATCTTTGAGTGTGTGATTCCTCGCTCATTAAAAAAAAACGTTTATTTTTTTCGTGCATGCTTGCATTTTTTGATGATTTTTAAGGGAAATTCAGGTGCTTGGGGGTGTGACGGATTAGCTTACTGCCCTCTGAACCCCCAGTGCGCGAGTTCAATCCCGGCCGGGCCGAGGTGCCCGGATTTTCGAAGGGTGGAGAATTCTCAGTACCATTCCATGAAAGGTTGTCAATATTCGGGTGGCCGAAAGCCAATATTACAATTATTTCAATTCATTTTGGTCACTCTAAAATACTTTCTGGCAATCACTAAATGACCAGTACAAATCCTTCTTCTCAAGATAAAACCTGGCTTTCCTCTTCTTATACAGGAATGATGGCTGGTATGTGAGTATGTATATGTGTGTATGAATGTGTGTGCGCGCGCGCGCCCGAGAACTTAATTAACAAATACATTTAAATTTCCTCCCACCTCAATTTAAAGGTGATTGTCAAAAAAGTTAACATTACATCTATCAACTCGTTATTGCGAAATATTGGTCTGGGTTTTGGAACACCTCTTTCTAATTTTTGTATAGCGTATTTGGACTGTTTTCGATGCCCTAAACTTATTTTGTTTTCGATTTGTGCACTAGATTTTCTTAAGTATTCTTCAATACATCTGTTACCAGTGGAACTTTCAACAAATTGTTGAGTAAAGCAGTCGTCTTGTGCAGAAGTATTTCTGTCAGGCGCTTAACACACGTACGCTGGTGCATTTACCACCTCCCCCTCCACATCGCATTTCGCGATGTCTGAGAAGAAGAAAAACGCGGGAGTACAAAAAGATAATCGGAATGAAACGGAACGAAAGAAGACCATTTTACGAGCTCAGTTACCATGGAAGGTTTCCCATGGTCATTCTTATGCAGTCAACATTAATAACCTCATTATCCAATATACTTACCAACAGACATACCGCCAAAAGGTTCAATTTCGCCATGGCTGTATCTGAAAATAGAGAGAACTGTTAATATCAACCTCCAAGAGAATAGGGTACACTTCAATGGAAACATAATCGCCCAATATTTTTGAAAAAAAGAAGATATTTACTCATAAAATCTCCTTGAATTAAATTATTCAACTATTAATTGAGTTTTAAATGAGATAATGATTTGAATTTCTATAAGGTGCTCAGTATAGTCAGTACTAATTAAAAACAAACAAATTGTGATCATAATTATTGCTAAGGATAATTATTGGCGCAAAATGTCGATAGTTACAGTAACAATAATTTACACCCCAACTATCTACTCGTATTTTATATCATGAAATTGAACTATTAATAAAGTAAAAGTGCAATTTTTCGTTGGCATGAGAAAATGTGTATTCTTGTCACAGAAACAGGTGGAAAACCCAATTGACACAAAACAATATCATTGTTCATTGTTCTCTTTCTATAGATATGGGGCCAGAGTAAACGTTGATAATACTGTTAATTATACAATAAATAACACTCATTTTCTCTTCCTGAGTACAAAACTACTAGAAAGTAATTTCCCAATGTGAAATTTTTAGCCATTCAGGGTGGACACAACCTCCTATGTGTCTGAGATGACAATGAAAACAAATATCAATTATAATGCTTCTTATAAAACTTTTACTGTTAATTCTTGTATATTTTATATCATAGTTGTTGGAACTGATTAGAAGTTGGATATCGTGGATAATGGTCCAAGTTAAGTAACTCGTAACGTACCTCACTAAAGATTTCTATTGAAAGGCTGCGTAATTAATTTCGGCGAAGGCATAAAGCAAGCATTAAAGCAAGAGGGTAAAACACTAGTGTAATAATTAATACTCTCGTATAATATAAACAATACATCAGTATCAGTAATCCATTTGTTTGGTTTTGTGACTAAGGGTAAAGTGTCAGTAGTTCAAGGTTAAAATACATCAGAGGACATTTCACGAACGTCACTCATTATTTCATAACGCGCTTGGAAACAACACGACACAAAACATACGAAGGTTTTTTACGTTCTCATACGTCATCCTAATGCTAATGTATCTAACACATCAATTAACATCTAAAAGAACTCATCTTACTGCGCTATTAATTACAGCTTTATTCGGTGACTTCTTTCTAATTTAATCGGATAGTATCAGACACTGGTAACAAATGGTATGGAGATCGGATCGCAGAGATTTTTTCTTTGTAAATTCACACATCAAAACTTATGTTTTTGAAAAAGTTTGGAAAATAAAGGAAAATAACGAAGAAAAATTCGCGACTTTGTTCCGAGAAACATTGGAAGGGAAATGTTCAATTTCTAATGCCAGTCGCATGTAGTATGGCAGTTTTTCTTTTTGAATAATCAAACATGCAATTATAATTTTGCTGTTACGAAAAAGAAATATCAGATACATCAACATATATAATCGCTGCACCAGAAAAGTTATACTCTCCAATCGTCATTAAATGAAGAAATATGTTAAGAAAATATTTTATTTTTACAAGAAAAAATTACAAAGATAGTTCGCAAGGCAACCGGAAAGTAGATCAAAACATTTCGCTGTGAAATAAACGTCTCTGATTACTACGTTAAAACCGCTTTCCTGTAATGTGAAAACGTTTGAAATGTGCCGTTTATCTTGTGCATCAAATAAAATTTACGAGTAGTTTTTGTATTTTTTACAAACATAACTAATTCTTAGAAGATTTCAGGAAAAGCACTTGCCAGCTGAGGTGAAAAGTTTCCTGGAACGAAAATGTCATCCACCACCGGTGAGTTAACTTAGTCTTTACATACAACGGAGATCAACATCGAAGCAAATGAATCACTTTAAGCTGAGTCGTGCTCTTTGAAGGTCGTTTACTTTTCTAGCTTATCACCGCTCGTACAGTCTTTGTCCAAAGGCAGTGCACTATCATCTAGAGCGGAGATTGGCAAGTTAGTTCCGTTTAAGTAACGGGTTGCTTTTAAATACAGTTAATCCATCAAGCACTCTCAGGCTTTGCTTTGTCTTCCACACGTATTTTGGGCAATTTCTTTTAATATGTGATTACAATGGCGACTATTATAAGCAGTTGTAGTTGTGGTAAGCAGAAAACAGTACACTTTCTCTTGAATCTATAGTAAAATATTTCTTTGCTTTTATAATAGACGTACACAACAGAAACTTGTAATGTTAAAGAAAAACGTTTTAGGTATGATATTGAACTAATTTTCTTATTTTTCCATACACTTTATTTTGGGTGTTTAAAAAAAACATAAAAATTGAATTCGATTTTAAAGTAGGTTTATTTGAGTTGGGGCAGAGGCCCCAAAGCTCAAGAAACCGTGCACATATTGCATTTCCCCCTTAGTATGTCACACAGTTTTTTACATTAAATAAATAAATTTGAGAATGATCCTGCATCATGTCATGTCATCCCAAGTCATGTCAGATTTTTAGCAGTAAATTGCAAAAGTTGTGAGGCTACGTTGATGAAAATAAATGCTCAAAGCAAATTCATTGCAAAAAAACTCAAATTTGTTTAGCAATCGAATGTTAAAGATGACTTTTTTTGCGCATTCCCATATCAAAATCCTGCTAAGCTTCTTTTCACGCCTTCTTGTCATGCAGAGTTTTAACTTTTCTCTCGCTGTACGTTCTCTGCCCTGTTATCTGATCGCGACAATGAAAAATTAATTCGTTACCTTGAATTAACTGATAGAGGGACAAAGGAGAGGCAAAATTCGTGCGAAAAAGTAATTCTTATTTTTCGTTGCTTCTTCCAGCCATTAGTTGATATCAGTAAAGGAAGTTTATATATGACGCACAAGTGAATCCTTCCGATACCTGAAGGGCATATTCGAGAGTACAGTGTTAGTATATTGGAATGGGCATTATAATTTCTTTCCGTATTGTTGAGGTATAAAAATGTGACCACGTAGCTTAATATCATTCTGTCATGCTACTGATTGTTTCACGTTTGAGTAGTGTCCGTGTGGGTATCCGAATCTAGTCACGTCTGCAAACCTTCCATTAGGTATAAACGACAGTGAAAAGGTGTAGGGTAACTCCCCACTGAGAATGGGAGAGAGATGGCGCCAATGGCCATCTGCTAAAATTATTTCCTGTTTATATGCTCAGTAGGAATGAGCTTGTTTTCAGGTGGGCTAGAAGGCGCAGCTTTACGTGTTTTTGTATTGACGAGCTTTCTAGCCTATTTGCGTTGGTTTGTGCCTGTATTTGTCCATGGCCGACGAGGATTGTGATGATCAGGGAAGACAGGAAAATAGGTTTCATAACTTAAAACATTTAATAAAATAAAATAATTTAACATAAATTCAATTAAATTATCCTGTGTTTTGACTGAATGATGTGCCTATGGGGTGTGTGCATTCTTGAGTACACGATCGGAAAAATTCACAGTTACTTACTGTTTATCAACTGATAGTCTTATATATACTGATCCATTCTTCTAAAATGCTGATTTAAACTACTGTTTACGTGTCTGAACTCTTTGAGAAGGCCAACTTTGAGTTGAAGAGAGTGAAAAATATATAGAGCAAACAATATTCATGTCACGAATTCATATGTGATAAAATTGGAAATACATATAACAGAAACCGGACAAGCGTTGCCTACTGTTACCCAACCGTCTGAGTAGTGAATACTTTCAGTTTTCGCATGCTATCGTCTGTTTACAAGAAAAATGACATATTTAAAAAATATTCGTTCTTGAGTTATACATGCGAAGAAATATCAGAAAGTAGAATATTCTTATTATAAAATACCTTCATAAATACTATTCGTAAGAAAGATTATATATAGAGTGAAACGCTATCTTTAGCCATGAAATAAATAACTCAGTTCAGATTATTATTCGTTCTCCTGCAAAATGACCATTTTTCAGATGTGTTACTTTTCTTGTACATTGACGATACTCCTTTTATTGTCGGAGGGTGCTATGTCTTGCAACTCACGAGGCCGACATATTTACGGTCTTTTTTTATATTAAAATGATCGTTCCAATTAATTTCTTGATATTTTGTTTAAAAAAGAACGAGAAAACATAAATTCCCATTGAATAATAATGCAAAGACCGAACTACAAAAACCAGAACATTAAGACATTGATTCATATTTTGGTAACATTGTTGATTTCAATCTCATTACTTATTCAAATAATCTCTCTTCTATTTCTGAGGAACGCAACTTCACATTGACGGAAAAACACAAATGTTGTTTGTGATAAAGAGGGAAAATGATACATTCGATTTATTATTATTATTATTATTATTATTATAAATATTATTATTATTATTGTGACGAGTTTTATACAAATAGGTAGTTCATCCCTCGAAGCCTGAACTCCGCAGTTCTATTCAAAGGCAGTCGCATTGAAACAATTTATTTTTCCTGCAAAGTGTGTATTTTACTTAAGTGGGCGGAAATGAGTGTCAATATCAATGATAACATTTACTAATTGTTCAGAGTTCTACTCGGTTGGAAGGCAATTTGTCGAAGGAAAAGGCATTATCTTAATGACATATTACTCACTCGGCATATTTTCGTTCTGTCGCTTTAAGTTGTTCAAAGGATAACAAAAACAACTACGTTAATGTTCTGTTGTGAAAAAAATGTAGAAAGTTGAGAACATCAGTACTTGTTAACATTCGTTACGGAACTATTTTCTGGTTACTCTGGAATAGAAAGCGAAAAATACTCCTTCTGCCAACATTGCCAACATAAAAATATTAGAAAAATCCATAATACGGAACCTTAACGCATGTGGTTCGTCATTAATCACGCTAACTTTCCTTTTACTCATGCTAGGCTACTAGAACATTAAAAAATGTTTGTTTCCACACACATACACACACACAAACACGCCCAAAACAACATGGAAAATTTATTCTGAAATGTTCCTAAGTACGTGATATTTCAAGTCTTTCACGGCCTCTGAAGGATAGAATAAGCAGAAATATCAAAAACATCGGAGATTCAAAATTTGTATTT